CCCCGCACCTGGAGTCGTGGCACTGGCGCACGGGCGCCGCGTCGCGGTTGCTGAGCGGCAGGTAGTTGAAGAAGTCCCGCAGGTGGAGCAGGGCGTCGATGTCGTTCTCAAACGCTCTGTGCGCCACCCCTGCGGGCGGGGGGACTTGAACCCGCGGCCAGAGCCGCCCGCAGACCCCCCGCGCCCCGCCCGCAGACCCCGCGCCCCGCACCTGACATGGTGGTGTGCGTCTTGGCCCCGCCCAGCTGCTCCTGCGTCACGTCCTCGTTGGTGACGGACTTGACCACGTCCGGCCCCGTGATGAACAGGTAGGAGGTGTCCTGCAAGCGCATCCCCACACTGCGGCCCGGGCGAGGCGGCACCCACAGCCCAGTCCAGCGCCCCGTGCAGCGCCCTGTCCAGTGTCCAGTCTAGCGCCCAGTCCAGCGCCCCGTGCAGCGCCCTGTCTAGCGCCCAGTCCAGCGCCCCGTGCAGCGCCCTGTCCAGTGTCCAGTCTAGCGCCCAGTCCAGCGCCCTGTGCAGCACCCTGTCCAGCATCCAGTCCAGCGTCCTGTCCAGCGTCCTGTGCAACATCCTGTACAGCACCCTGTCTAGAGTCCTGTTGGTCCAGCATCTGGTCCAGCATCTGCATCACACTGTTTCCAAAAGACACCTAGGATTCACTGGCCCAAGGGCGGGCAGGCCGTGCACACGGGAGCGATGCATCTACTCGCCTTCTTACTTTCCAACAAACCAACGTTCTGAACACTCCTTGGATGCATTTTCTCCATAGCATGGCTACTTACAGACACAAGTCTCACTTTTTCTCTCTTTGACTGGCTGTGGGCTTAAACTTGGGGCCTGGGTGCTGTCCCTTGCCCCTTGGTGCTCAAGGCGCGTGCTCCACCTGTGAGCCACAGAGCCACTGCTGGTTTCTGAGTGGTTCACTGGAGATGAGAGTCTCACAGGGATTTTTCTGCCCGGGCTGGCTTGGAACCATGATCCTCAGGTCTCAGCCTCCCGGGTAGCTAGGATGACAGGCGTGAGCCACCGGCACCTGGCTTATTGTAACTTGAAGGACAATTCATAGTAGTAGGGCATGTATCATAACGATGGGTATAGATGACTGCTTGCTTGTAGTATTTCACTATAACTCATGTCCGATGCTCATTTTCTACTGGCTAGCTAGCTTTTTTTGTGGACTACAGAAACTAGTCCTTAGCCTACTGTGTAGCTCTTTTATTGTTGCGGCCCTTTGCTTGGAATCCAGCTGGAAAGGTCATACTCATTCCATGAAGATACTTCCAAGCTAACATTACAGGAATATCAGAACAAAAATAAATACATAGATAATGGAGCTGGCACCAATGGCTCACACCTGCGATCCTAGGTACTCAGGAGGCTGAGATCTGAGGATTGCAATTTACAGCCAGCCCAGGGAGAAAAGTCCATGAGACTCATGTCCAATTAACACCCGAAAACTAGAAGTGGAGCTGAGGCTCGAGCCAGTAGAGAGCATGCCTCGTGCACAAAAGCTCAGGAGCAGCGCCCAGGCCGCGAGTTCAAGCCCCTGGGTTTGAGGCCAGAGCCGGAAGCTTTGGTCGAGGACTATCTACAGTCAGATCCAAGTCTAGCCAGCTGTGTGGAAGCAGCCCCCGGGCTGGGAGAGGCCCTGGATCTGGGGATCAGGGCTGTGCAGCAGCCAGGGCCACAGACAAGCCACAGGCTAGACTGCCACCTACTGGAGGGTCGCGCAAACGCAACAGAAAAGAATGGCTTTTATGTAATTGTTTTTT